AAAAATTTAGTGTACAAGGTGATTTTTTCTGTGAATGCCATTCGGCTCCTTTTTTTTTTTTTTTTTTTTTTTTTGAAATGGAGTCTCACTCTGTTGCCAGGCTGTAGTGTAGTGGGGTGATCTTGGTTCACTGCAACCTCTGCCTCCCAGGTTCAGGTGATTCTCCTGCCTCAGCTTCCTGAATAGCTGGGATTACATGTGCCTGCCACCACCCCTGGCTAGCTTTTGTATTTTTAGTAGAGATGGAGTTTCACCATGTTGGCCAGGATGGTCTCCATCTCTTGACCTCATGATCCTCCTGCCTTAGCCTCCCAAAGTGCTCAGGTTACAGGCATGAGCCACTGCGCCTGGCCTCAGCTTCTTTTTGTAGCTTCCCCAGTCCTTGCTCAGAAATGACACAGGCTTTCTCTCACCAAGACTGATCTGACTACAGACACTATTGAACACCTCACAGAACAGGAGAGTCTTGATATGGCAGAAGAAGAACAAAGAACAGAAGAACAAGAAGTCTTGATACGTTTCCCAGAAGAACAGCTGGCCACTTGACTGAATACACTGTACCCCTTCCATCATGGAACAGGCAGCAATTTTTCCTTATTGCAATAGCTTTACTCTACATATGGATTTGCCTTTCTTGCCTGCAGTGCTTCGGCAAAAATCTTATCTAAGTTTGCAGAATGCCTCATTCCTGTTGTAGTATCTCACACTGCATCACTTCTGACTAGAAAACTAATTTTACAGGCAAAATAATGAGGCAATGAAATACCCAGACAATTCACTGGTTCATCTACCTTATCATTCCAAAACAGCTTCCATCTGTGGATCGGCCTTGTGAAGACTCATATATGGCACTTGCGGGATAGTACTTTGTTGGCCTGAAGTGTTGTTTTTTGCAGGTTACAATATGTTTCAAAATATGGTGCTATTTTTCCCTAGATAGAATACACAGGTCTAGGAAGTAAAGTTAGTGGCTCCTCTCATGATAACCCTTAATGATCCTGTAACAAATATTTGCTTCTAGTCCTTCCAACATTGGGCCCTACTGGTTTAGAGGTTTTCTATTTCCAGGGAAAGACTGCTCGCATCTGAGAAGACAAGGATTCTATGAAACAGGTAAAAATTATAAAAAGACTTTAAGCTCAAGGAATTAACAGCCTTAAAATTAAATTAACACATTAACATCCAAAGGATCTACTAATTATTTGAAGAATATACTAGGATTTAATAGTCACAGTTTGGGCAATTCACTAATAATCCAAAGGTCCACAATATGTACTTTATGTGTCTGTAGTAATTAGTTTTATTTCTGGAGAATGGTCTTCGAATGACAGATAAAACTTTAGTAAATGCAGAAACAGCATTTAGCTTGTGGTGGGGTGCATAACGACACAGAACTTTCTAAAGAAATATGATTCTAAGGCCAGGTGTGGGGGCTCACGCCTGTAATCCAAGCACTTTGGAGACCAAGGCAGATGGATCACCTGAGGTCGGGAGTTCAAGACCAGCCTGACCAACATGGTGAAACCTCGTCTTTAAACAAAAGAAATAGAAATATGATTCTAGAGAACACTAAAGCCTGAATAAGCATTTCTGTATGCATTTGGGGATTCCCAAAGATGTATCTGGATGTATTTATAACTTATACCATCACTGAGCCCCAGACATCTATAACTACTTTTGGAAGAAGTAATGTAAATGAGCAATTCTAATCCAAGCTAATCTTGAAAGAGGAGTCAGGAGACAATTTTTCTTTCATTCTGAACTTATTTTAAAACACATAAAATTAAAACTATAAATATTAATACGTTTTCTTTCCTGTTTACTTTGTAATTATTCTAATGAACAGAATACATATTTCTCTTTAGCCAACTGCCCAACTGGCACTCAAAATACTGAATTCAGCAAATATAAAGGATTACACACAGCCAAATAATAAGTAGGTATTTAATCAAGGCAGTTGGATAGGTGAGTGAAGACCACCATAGCACAATAAATATACAGGTAGTGCTCGACTTACGACCACGATTGGTTCCAACAGACCGGTAGTAACACAATTTGGTCGTAAGTTGGTAGGCTATATGCATGCGGAGATGGTAGTGCTGCCAGAAGCTGGTCCGCACTGGAGAACGCCCAGCTGGGCAACGTTTGCGCTGCCAAACGCGGAGCAGTCATGGCTAGCGATTGTGGTCGTAAAGTTGAATGGTCGTAAGTTGCATAGGTCGTAAGTAGATCAATACCTGTAAACAGAAAGGCTCATAGAGCTTTTTTTTTTTTTTGAGACAGGGTCCCACTCTGTCACCCAGGCTGGAGTGCAGTGGCATGATAATGGCTCACTGCAGCCTTGACCTCCCCAGGCTCAAGTGATCCTTTCACCTCTGCCCCCTGGGCTGCTAAGACTACAGCTGTGTTACGCCACCTTCTCTGGCTATTTTTTTTTCTGTGCTTTATAAAGATGGGGTTTGTTGCCCAGACTGGAGAACTAGCTTTTGTGGATTTTTTGGTTTTTTTGTTTTTTTTTTTTGAGACAGAGTTTTGTTCTTGTTGCCCAGGCTGGAGTACAATGGCACGATCTTAGCTCACGACAACCTCCACCTCCTGGGTTCAAGTGATTCTCCTGCCTCAGCCTCCTGAGTAGCTGGGATTACAGGCATGCACCACCACGCCGAGCTAACATTGTATTTTTAGGTGATCTGCCAGCCTCAGCCTTCCAAAGTGCTAGGATTATAGGCATAAGCCACTGCACTCAGCTGAGAACTAGCTTTCAAAAAAATTAACAGAAGTAAGTTTTGTATGCTAACATGAAAATAAAGAGCATAGAAATAATGAGTACTTTCTGTCGGGCATTGTTGGACCAAGTAATGAAACCGCAAAATGATCCCATGAGGCGTTATTATTTACATCTTTGCTTTATAAAGAAAGAAATGGAAGCAAAACAGGTTAAGTAACTTGTCAACCAAGGTCACACAGCTGTTAATTGCCAAAGTAAAGACTAGGACCAGGCCTGCCTGGCGTGAATCATCCTCTTATCCACTTTGCAGTGTGGAGAGCATACCAAGGGCTGGGACAACGGTGAAGTAAGACATTTGTCTTGGGTGCAAAATTAAAAAGGCACCAAAAAACCCCACAGTGATCAGATAAGCACTTTAATGCAGTATTTTAAAAAATTAGAATAAATGCAAAAATCCTATGATAAAATACCAGAATTTTAAAAGTGGGATCAGAATTAATTATTTTCTTTGTGCCTTGGTCTCCTATATGGCTTGTCATTGTTACTAGTCCTGTCTTTATTTAAATTTTTGAGCCTGAGGCAAGAACCCCCTCACTTCATTCATTTCATGCTAGTCTAGGACCCAAACAAAAATATTCCTTTAAGTCTTGAGCTTCAATCAATGTCTGACTAACTTTATCACAGTATAATAGTAATTACTGAAATGCTGACACCATCTTTCTGAAATATGCACTAGGCAAAAGCATTCTATATTGAATATTCCTGAATATAATGAATATTGAATATTCAACACATTCATATTTTAAGATGAAAAGAGAAACCCAATTTTGACAAAAGAAAATTCTATGCTCAGCTTTAGCCTACTGTATTATCCTTACCACATTCGGTAATCACATATACATTTAACAAATGTGTTTTGAGCATCTACTACATACCACATCAAATTTGGTGCTCCAACAATAAAGAAATGATAAAGCAGAATTTATACATAAGAAAAAGGGGAAACAGAACAATACTTGTTGATACATATCCACATATGGGGTATATTTTCTCATTTAACCCTAATATTATCTCTATTTTGTAGATGAGAAAACAGGCTAAGACAGGTTGTATAACTTGTCCAAAATCATCCAACTAGAAAGTGGCAGAACTAGATCCAAACCCAGATCTACCTCATTAAAAAACAAAAACAAAAAAAATTTGCTGTTATATGAAGACAATTCAAATTTCTACCAAGACTTCAACGCAACTTAGAAAGTATTTAGGACAGGTAGGAAAGTGAAAATATAAGTGTTACTAGATTGAAACTACAAAAAAGTATGTTTGCATGTGGACAAACAGCAAAAGAAAATCATTGGGTGCAGCTGATAGCAACATTAAAAAAATCTATATAATACAATAAAAGGTACAGAAAAAAATCAGTTTAAGTCGGATAAAACAAATCTCAGTGTCAACTTTTATTTTTTACTATGTAAAACGAGCAAAAATGAGTTTGATATATAGTATGCTTGATACAAAAATTGAAGACTTTCAAGAAAAGCTTTAGTTATGAGTAATCTGAGCTTCCACATTCTATGAGGTCAATTATTTGGTTATCATCGGTATTAAAAACAATAAAATGCTATCATTAAATATGACCTACCCAAATGTATAACCGAAACTTGAAGTTTACATATATTAAGTTAGCAAAAGGTCACAGCATGGTCATTGAATATAATTAAACCATTTATATAGTTTTTGTGTTTTCTTTACCATACTTGGTGACCATGTATTTTATCCTTTATATTTATGGGTTTCAGCTTATTTCCCTACTTAAGAATGTCAAGTTCTGACTCATGTTTATTAATATGAAAAACTTGGTAGGAACATGAATTTCAGTAGTTTCTTGAATGCCTTAATTCTGATCAGTTAAAATAAAACATCCAGGAGGGAGCTATCTAAATTAGAAATATTTTACAACAGAGAGGATAGTACTTTTACTAAACATTGGACTTCGTTGGAATATGCAGTCACTTGGCCTGAGGAACACTAATAAGTATTTGCCTTTTTTAAAAATGCAAGAATGTGAAAAAATAGCAAGCTGGTAATAATCCTATAAAAGGAACACGTGTTAAACATCATGATTTTTCCAATTTCTAAGATAGGTGGTGCCTAATACCTGGTTAGAAAAACCTACAAAACTACTCTTGAGTTTTGTCAAATTGCTATTGATAGTACAAAGTATTTGCACCTTGAAGAAACAAGCAACATTCTAAAGAAAATCAGTGCTTACTTGGTAATCATTTCTCTTAATATTTGGAACATCCATGTTGTGAGTAGAAGGACAAATATCTTCATATTTTTTGCCCGTGAAAATATCAATTCCAACAAGGTGAACCTAACAGAGAACAGGAAACCTGTTTAATCTCTGCCAAGTATACCACTCATTACACACACAAGAGTACAATAACAACGCTGATTACGACAGATTCTTTTTCTCCTCCTTCCAAGGTCATCTAATTTTACTTTCTTAAAAGAAAAGTAATGGTCATACAATTAAGATGCAGTAAACAACTAAACAGTATCATGACATGCCAAGACCCAAGACAGTCCAGTGATTCAATTATAAGAGTATACAAGAAAAATAAAGTGTAGGTTTCTTAGAATTGCTAGAACAGGTTTTCTCATCTGTAAACTGAATAGACCTAGGTTACTAGGATTCAGGAAAGTTTCAGTTCCCAGTTAATGAAACATTGTAAACATTGTAAGGGCCCAAGAAAGGAATGCTACCTTTAAGTTTTCAAAGTAATAACTGATCACTCAGCAATTGTGGGAAGGAAAAAAATAGTGCTTATTGCAAAATTTTAAGTATAGTAATCTCATGATCTGTAACGGAATACAAATGATCAAAATCCCAACGCCGAAGCCACAGCCTGATCTGCAAGGGCGCTTACCTTGGCATGACCATGCTTTCCAGTTTTGGAAGTTGACATCTCCACTATTTTGCATGGTCGTCCTTTGAGCACCACGAAGCCGTTTTTGCGCAAGGCCGAGCACTGCATAGGGTAAGTGCTGGAAGCCCCAGCATCCCCAGTAGTGAAATCAATTTCGTCCGCCATGGTGGGCTGGGGAGATGGTAGTTTTTCCGTGTGAACTACACAAAAAGTTTATGTTTGCTTTTTAACAATGGCTATGTAGGCAGGGAAACGTCTCCTTTCGGACAAGTTATGTGCCAAGCATCATGGGCCTGTTATTTCTGCATGTATAGAACACCCACCCTAGACTAGCGGGCACTTTCTAACTCTGGCCTCTAGAAACTTTTCCAGCTATTGTTTGGGGAGGTGGGATGAGAAGTCGCAGAGGGGCCCGCAGAGGGTGGGGACACCCGCCCTGGGCGCTCCTCCGCGCTGGAAACAGCAGGTTCTGGCGCCCATCGCCCCACCGCGGAAGCCGGCGACCTTCCCGCGCCGCCCAGCCCTCCGCCGCCGCCCCAAACCCTACTGCGGGGACCCGGCCCAGGCCGCACGTCCCCGCGAAGGATGCGGAGTAACAGGACCTGGCCGGCAGCACCCGGCCCTCTGCTAACCGGCGCGCAGCGCGCCCTCCAGCCGTCTGCGCCGCCCCTGCGGCCGCACAAGCGCTCCCTGTTCTGCCGGCATCCCCGGCTCTGCCCGGCCCGGCTCGGCCCCACTAGGGCCTGAGCCCCGGCGGGTCCCGCGCTTGCCTCCGTTCCCCCATCATTCATCTTCCTTCCCTCGGTCAGCGCTCGGCTCTGGGCGCCTTCCCCGGCCCTGCCTCACTCTGGCCCCATCCCCACCAGCTTTTCCCCAGGTCCTCACCTTTCAGTTGGCAAAGAGCGCCTTTCGCCTGCGCACCCGCGCGGGTCCCCCACAGCTGAGGCGCCGGCGGCGGCGGTGGCGGCCGCGGCAGTTCCAGGAGCCGGGGCGGGGCCGCTACACTTTCCACACCCCAGCCTCCCCGCCCTTACCCGCCCCCACCTCAGCCCCACTTCCGGGATAGGCCCCGGAGCGTCACAGGCACCGCCCCCTAGGGCTACCATTGGCTACCAGGTTCCCGAGGCCCCGCCCAGTCACGTGAAGCGCGCCCTGGCAACGCCACGTGCTGCGGCTTAGTGCACTTCCGGCGTGGGGAGCGCTTGCAGCGTTCTGATTGCTGAGGGTGAGCTCGCTGGCAGAGGAACTTGCGCCTTCCAACTCTTAGGTTTGTTGCGTTTGGGTCGCAGTCTGCTTTCATGGGAACCAAGCGAGGCACCCGGTGGCCCCTGCCGTCAGGTGCGTGGCAGTTATCACGTGACGATCGTCGGCGCTCGCAAGGCGCGCAGATTCAGTGAGTGCCAGTGTGGCTGGCTGTGAAGGGAACTTTGGGTTCGAGCTTCTGGTTCAGCTTGCAGCCTTTCTTGGGGTTGGAACCCCCCTCCTGGTCTTGGAAGAAGAACTCACGTGCAGTATTTTATTACCTGGTTCGGCACCGCGGGTTCTGAGAACCTCACTCACCCCTTGGTGAGATTTTGGCTTTGACTGCCGCAGGGTGCCCCTGTAGAGTCATCACTGCTCCTTGGGGTGGACACTCCTGAAGCATCCGCCAGCTAACCAGCAGCAGTGAAATGACAATACACTTCTCACACCGAAAGCTGTTGTGAAGTTGTGGAGGCAGAGTTTGGCTGACCCCTATCGCATTGCGGGTCCAGACAGGTGTCCTGCCAACTCATCCCTTCTTTCCTCCTGGCATTGGCATTCCTTAGAGTTTCGGTTTTAACTCTGCCGTATTAGAACGCTTGGATGGTCTTCAAAACTGACCTAGAGCTTGTAGACTGCAATAGAAAGGTTCTTAAAAGAGATCTGCTCCCCCTTCACATTTTCATTTCACAACCCACTGTGTCCCATCTTGGGGAGGTGACCTAGGAAATTACTTCTCATTCCACACCCGCATTTATGTGGTACTTTGATTTCCTGTTGCTGTCTTATGAATAATCTCATATCTCACATTCCTATATGACTACAGTTTACACATATCTTTCAAACATGTCCAGTTTAACTTTTACAGTAAGTTACTGCCCTCTCATGTACTGAACTCAGCCTCTAGCTAATATATGAAACAGCCATTACACCCGTGGCTCATGCCTGTAATCCCAGCAGTTTGGGAGGCCTCCGCAGGTGAGTTGCTTGAGCTCAGCCGTAGATCAGCCTGGGCAACATGGTGAAACCTTGTCTCTACCAAAAATACAAAACTTTAGTGATGGCCTGCACCGGTGGTCCCAGATACTTGGGAGGCTGAGGTGAAACGATCTATCGCTTGAGCCTGGGAGGTGGAGACTGCAGTGAGCTGAGATCCGGCCATTGCACTCCAACCTGGGTGACAGAGTGAGACCATCCCGCCTCCCCATGCCCAATCCCCCAGAAAGAAAAAGCCAGATTGGAATCTCGGTTCATGAGGTCTTTCTGCTTTTCCTTATACCTTCTAACTTTTCCCTATTGTTTTGAGAATGATTGCTAATAGTATTTAGTATTTATATAGGCAAATACTGTACTAAATTTTTTACCTGCATTATTCCTTTGATCTTGACTGCCGTTCTCTATTTTTAACCTTTTTAAGTTATTCATATAAAGTAAAATTTCCCTTTTAGTTTTATGATGAGTTTTATCATGATGATCAAGGTACGTTTTTCAACTCATAAAACTGAAAGGAACAAATTTTACTTCATATGGGATTTTATATACTAAAAGGGACAAATTTTAAAATCTACTTTAAGTAGACTGGAAGCGGTGGCTCATCTATTATCATCAAGATATGGAATATTTCTCTCATTCCAAAATCTTCCTAGTGGCCTTTTGTAGTCAGTTTCCTCCCTCTACACCCAGCCCCTGGGAAATATTCACCATACTGTTTTAACCTGCATTTTTCGTTTTGGAAAACGGCGAGAAAAGTTAAGCAATTTGCCCCAGATTGTAAAGCTAGCAAGTTGGAGAACCAAGATTGAAATCTAGGCATTTTGGTTCCAGAGTCACTGCTCTATCTACCACCATATACTGCATTCATATAAGATTTGGGTTTGGAATGATGACTGGGCATCACTTATTCAATAAATATAGTCAGTTCTCCTGAAGTCACTAAGAACACTGAACTGGCAAATACTAAATCATTGCTCCTAGGAGAAATACAGGGTTAGGTTCCTCTGAGCCTCTGGCCCAAAACATTGGTTAATATGTTATGAGATGTTTAATAGGAATAAAAAGATCTGCATAGAGCCGGGGCTTGAAGCCACCCCTCCACCGCACATTCAGTACAGAAAGAGGGTTTTATAAAGTTCACACTTTTTCATAAGTAGTGGAAATAGGGTGAGGCCCTGAGACTGGCCTGGTGAGTGAGGGAAGGCCACTGGGTGCTTCCTCTGCTGGCCAGGGCTGAAATAACCCGAGTTCTGTTCTCACAGAAAGGGGCGGCTGCCACCTCTTGACATCAAGGATGGATGGGCAGGAGGTGTCCTCGATGGCCAAGCTGTATCAGGATTTTAATATGATTTTTAGAGTGTATTTCTATTTAAAGACACCTGATTTGTTATATATTGTTGATTCATTAACATTAAACTGATAGACAACAACAATGTAATTCATGCCTGAAGGCAGCTTATCTAACATACGCTCTCTGTAAGACATAGTGTAGCTTTCTTGTGTTTTTCAACATTAGAGCCGGGCGCGGTGGCTCAAGCCTGTAATCCCAGCACTGTGGGAGGCCGAGACGGGTGGATCACGAGGTCAAGAAATCGAGACCATCCTGGTCAACATGGCGAAACCCTGTCTCTACTAAAAATACAAAAAATTAGCTGGGCATGGTGGTGCGTGCCTGTAATCCCAGCGACTCAGGAGGCTGAGGCAGGAGAATTGCCTGAACCCGGGAGGTGGAGGTTGCGGTGAGCCGAGATCGCGCCATTGCACTCCAGCCTGGGTAACAAGAGCGAAACTCCGTCTCAAAAAAGAAAAAAAAAAAAAAATTCAACATTAGACAGCTCTTCAGCACAGTGCTTGGGGGCCATTTTGAACAGTGAAACCACCATAAAAATCACAACAATGCAAAAACTATGACGCTAAATAGACTAAAAAGAATACTTGTTCACAGTTTGACAAGTGAAACAAGAAGGCAGAGCATGGCTGTGTTTGACCTCAGCTAAATGTGCATTAGGTGGCTCAAATCCCTGTGCATGTTCACAAATGACTTCAAAAGCACTGCAAGTATTGATTTTAAGATTAAGTAGGCTCGGTACAGTGGCTCATGCCTATAATCCCAGCACTTTAGGAGACCGAGGCAGGCGGATCATGAGGTCAGGAGTTTGAGACCAGCCTGGCCAATATGGTGAAACCCTGTCTCTACTAAAAATACAAAAATTGTGTGGGTGTGGTAGCACGCACCTGTAGTCCCAGCTGCTCGGGAGGCTGAGGCAGGAGAATCGCTTGAACCCGGGAGGTAGAGGTTGCAGTGAGCCGAAATCACGCCACTGCACACCAGCCTGGGGAACAGAGCAATACTCTGTCTCAAGGAAAAAAAAAAAAATGTTCTAAGTAAATTATGTCAATTATGCAAATTCATAAATACTAAATCCAAAAATAATGAGGATTGACTGTGTGTACTTTAGTGGCCTTACCTCTGGTATTACTGTGTTGACCAAGACAGCCTCTTGTTCCTAAGGTGCTTGCAGTCTAGTGCAGAAGACAGTCTAGTAATTTTAAAATATAAAACAAATGCTACTAAAGAAATAAGTAAAAGGCACTGAAAAAAAGGGCTTATCTAGGCTAGATGGTGTCCAATTAAAATATGATATAAGCTACATGTAATTTTGAGTTTTCTTTTAGCCACATAAAGTTACAAAAATGAAACTAATTTCAATAGTATATTCTATTTAACTGAATATGTCCAAAATATTATTTTACATGTAACCAATATAAAAATCATTACTAAGATATTTTACTTTTTTCCCATACTAAGTCTTCAAATTCTGGTGTATTTTACACTTTCAGTACATTTAAATTCAAACTAGCTATAATTCAAGTGCTCAATAACTAGGCATGTTTGGTGGCTATCATACTGGGTATTATAGGTCTAGAAGGTTCAGGGACTGCTTCTCTGGGAGGATATCTACTTTGAGATTTGAAAGACAAATAGAAGTCGGCAATGGAGAGGAGTTTAGAAAAGACACTTTAGGCAAAGAAAATGGGGTTACAAAGGTGTATTGTGAACAGAATCATGGCATCACTTGTACTGTAAATGGCTTTGTATGATAGTGTATACTGCAAAGAGGGATGAATTTGGAGTTTCTCCCAAGGGCAGTAGAAAAGCATTGAAATAGTACATACAAGAAAATGATAAATAATTTTTTAAATAAATTTAAACCATTCTCATTGTGATATGGAGTACTTTTAGGAGGAGACAATATTGGAAGTAGGAAATCAATTAGAAAGGCATAATTATGTTGAACAAACATGATGAATGAGAAGATTGCAGAGTTATAAGGGAAAATGGAAAGAATGTCATAATTAATTGAATGTTGAGTGTCAGAATAAGGAAGCACAGAGTACAAAGGAGAAGAAAGAGTGAAATTAAGACTCTCCAGAAAGTAAAAATCTGGGTGAATGGTGATGAATTTTCACTGAGTTAGAAAATATAGGAGAAGAAGCAGTTTGTGAAGAAAGTAAAGTTCACTTTTGGACAGGTTGAGTTTAAGGTTCCCATGGGAAAGGGAACTATCTGAAATAGAGATGCATGTTTATGAATCAGTATATAGATGATAATTAAAGCTGTGAAAGTGGAATATTTAGAGGAAGAATGCACAGTGAAAAAAAAGGAGCAAAAAATAGATCCCTGTTCTATTTAAAGAATAACCAGAGTGACCGAGCGTGGTGGCTCACGCCTGTAATCCCAGCACTTTGGGAGGCCAAGGTGGGCGGATCACCTTAGGTCAGGAGTTCGAGACCAAGCTGGCCAAGAT